CGGGGGGGGGGGGGGGGAATGAATGACTCTACACAAAAAGGCTAGATTAATCCTAAATATTGAAAAACAAGATCATATATTCTGTAGTTTATCTTTGTATAATGCCTAAAAGTAACAATGAATGTTACCCCCCACCCACTCCCCACAAAACCAGGATCTTCAGGGAATTTCTAAATGCATCAGCATTTATTAACACTGGAAACAAATCCAGTGGAGCGTTTATTAAATGAATACATCAGCAAGTACATTAAAGAAAACAAATATGCTTTCTAGTAACAGCAGTTCACAATTCCTTTCATATCACCTTTTAACCACTGAATTTTCAATATCTCTGAAAGCATTTTTACAAATTTACTCCAAGTTTTTTTCTTAAAGGAGACCACTGGCAATCCTACAGGGGGATTCCACACCTTTTAACACTGCATAGCTAGAAGACGAATTTCACTGGATGTCATCATCATCAAAGAGATCTTCAAAATCTAGTTGGAACAAAGAAAACAAACAACACAGTATAGTAGTCTACATTCCACCTACATATATTTTTCATTAAAGGCAAGTAAAAGCTAAACAAACTAGATTAATCTGAAACCCAACGTCAGGTGATCTTGTCTCCTGCACCACAGAAGTCAACAAGAGTTTTGCCGCTGATTTGAATGGAGGCAGGCTCATGGTCTCAACCATGTGCTCCTCTCATTCCAAACTGAGCTGAATTCACAAAAAGAATTTTCCCATGAAAAATGTGTGTGTGGGGGGGGGCGTGTCAAGATTTTAAAGCATGTAATGACCAAAGCAGAGGGTTCTTCTTAAACAAAGTTGCATATTCTTGTCACATAATAAAATATATCATGTTACATTACTGAAGGCAAAATTTAAGTGGTTTATTTAGGGATTAGAGAGTACCAAATAGCATGTTGGCCCTAACGTCTAGTCCAAATCTTGGGAACCACTTAAAACTGACTTTTGACAGTCATATATTCACTACCAATACAAAGCAATCCAATTCACAGTGGCATTACTTCTGTATTTTAAAAAAGTAAGTAATACTGCAACAGAAATGTAATAAATTAAGTCTTACCATTAAAGAAATCTGCATGAACTGCTTTTTCGTTGGCTGCTAAATCCATCAGCAGACCTGTACTTCCCCCTGCCTAAAAACAAATACCGTTTTATCAATTACTGCTTTTTGTTTAGTAACAAAAAATACAATGCGAGTGACTTCAAGATATGATGTATTAATTCTCATACCACATGCACCATTCCCTGAAAATCAGCAATCAAAAAATTGGGGTGCGTGTCTTGAGCCAGGAAACCGATTTCCAGACAGTTTGGTTAAAAGTATACTCAGCTTATTGACAAGTAACCTGACATCCTCACATCACATCATTTCCAGCTGCGTACCCAATCTTTATTTCCTATATCTCCTGCTTACTGAGTCCCTCTTGTAGCATATGCTGTACACCTCAACTAGGGCAGATGCTAGATGCATCAGTCAGACCATGGCCTTTTCCCTTCCAATGGGGCAGCAATGTCAGGCGAGGCAACTACCGTATTTTCCCATATACAACATGCCCCAAAATAAAACACACTTTGTTTTTTAAATAACCCCCCACCACCCTTTCCTTGTAGCAAACAACTGGGCGGCAGTGGCTGGATGCCCGAGCCCACTTGCAGTTCTGCTGCCCATCAGCCATCTGCTGACTTTCCTTTCATTGTTGCCCATGGGCCACCAGAAACTGCCCTTCCTGCATGCCTTGCTCATCATACGCACTGAAATTCCCAGCAACTGGCCCGGGGGGTGCGCTAGGCAAGACAATACGGTATCAGCCCACGCCAGAGATAGGAGTGGGGGGGCGGGGCCATATCAGCAACGGGGACCCGCCCCACGTCTTCGCGCAGGCGCAGGCGGGACTCCCCCCGTCGCCGGCCCCACCCCGCGGGAGGAGCCAATCAGATCGCCGGGCGGCACAGGCAGCCCCCCCACCAGCCACAACCGCGAGCTGCGCGCGCAGCCTTTCCCTCAGTCCCCGCCCCCTCCTCACCTCGTCCAGGTCCACGTAGGGCCCCGCGCCCTCGGGGAACATCTCATCCACCGCCGGCTTCATCGCCCAGCCAGGCACGCAGATACCGCGCTAGGCTCCCAGGGGCTGCCCGTCCCTTCAGAGTCACTTCCGGTCCGGCTTCACTGACAGTTTCCGGTATGAGGAGCGCGTGTGCGCGCGCGACTTGTCTGGAAGCTCGGAGGACCGGCGCTCTATGGTATCGGGGGCCAGCTTGTCGCGCTGGTTCCCCCTGAGCGCCACAGCTGTACATGCACCTCGTTCAGCTGTTATCGCGGGGCATTGTTACAATTATGATTGTTATTTTATTATTATTAATAACGATGCTTGATAATACTAGGGCACCAATGATGGTTGTAATGATTGTTATTATTGTTTATTATTTTATTATTATTGCTGCTGCTGCTGTTGGTGATGCCCTAGTATTATTATTCATAGTAGTAGTGATGATAATAATGATAACAGTAATGATAATTAAATCCCTGGCTCTTCTATAGTAGGAGATCCAGAATAAGCTTTCCATAAGTGCCCAAGTGCTATGGGCCTTGCAGGTGGTACACCAGAATGAATGTCCCCTACCAAGGCAGCCCCTGAAAGGGGAGAGACTCCATGGGTGCAGGCACGTATCGAGCAGTATGTGTCCTAGCGGCTGTGCCAATACACTGGCAGAGATCACACCCTTCTCAAACACCTGGCTACAGACCAGACCTTAGAAGGCTGAAGCCTGGTTTACAATTCTGAGCTCCAGCACCATGGGGTGCCTTGAGATCCTTTCAAGGGTGCCATGAGCTGCCACAGTCTTAGCACCATTGGGTGTGCAAACACGATTAACCAGATGAAGCCAGAGGTTTCGCATAGGAACTCCTGGTGTTAAAAGCACTCTGCCCTGGTGTGGTCTTTCTGTGTTCTTTGCAACAGTGGAGTTGCTGGAGTATTTTCCTGTAGTCAAAAACGAGTGAAAGAAGAGCCAGCATTTTCCAAGGGGTGCCTCAAGCCTATTGTGGGGTGCCTTGAGTGTAAAAGGGTCAAGAACCACTGTTGTAAACCTTGGCCAGCACATCTATCAATAATGAATGCACAGCCCTCATGCAGCTGCATTCCCCAGCATGTATGCAATTATGATAACAAAACAGCCCTCTGCCAGGATAGCTTGTTTCATTCGGGTGACTCTATTAGTGGCACCAGCCAAAGGATTCTTTTGCCAATATGAACAGTTTCCTATAAATAGGTGAGCCAGTGTAGCTTCACCAATATAGCTAAACCAGGAAAACCTTTCAAGTAGAGGAAGGCCTAAGTCCCATTTTCAAAAGTCACATTTTCTCAAAGGCTCATCTGGTTGACATTATATTGAGACAGAAGTTCAACTGTCCATCTGTGAAAATGAACAGACAAATGTTTCTTGTGTGAATTTATATTTTTTTCTTTGTAAATGTCCTAGCCATCTGCTTTTACAAACTCCATTGTCATGGGGTAGCTAGGTTATGGATAGGGGTGATCTTGTCTCAGGTGAGGGATTGGGCTACATGACCTCTGGAGGTTCTTTCCAGCTCTGCTTCTCTAGGACTCTTGGATTGTATTTCAGTGCCTCACAATCTTTTAAAATATATTTTGTCCTAACAACATTTGTGTGAGATCTGGGAGTACTAGTATCCTGTTTTACTGTTGAGAAAGGGATCTGGGCCTTTGTGGCTTCCTGCAGGCAGGACGTGCCTAACTCCCATTTAGTGCCTAATGGGACCTGATTGATCACCCTTTTTATTAGCATATCTGCTTTCATAAAAGAGTATTCACTACTATACATGGCACTGCATATGTACTAGATGTATTTATACAGTCCATCTTTTTTTCAACAGTTGGCTGTGACACCAGTTGTGTTTTTTACCCTTCAATAAAAACACAGGGAAGTATAGGAAAGGGTTTTTCACTTTAATATACATAAGGTAGGAGATAGCTTAATTACTTTATGAGTTTGAGATGTAAATTAGCAAACCTGGCAGGAGTATCTCCACTTATGCTCAAAGGAGAAAATATCTGAGGCATTTATGAAGGAAGTACTTTTAGTCCAGATCTCTAGATCCTTAACCTCCTCTCACCCTTTAACAGAAAACAAATAAAGGATAATTCTGGGGTCAGCTTGTTATCCTGAGACTCTCAAGACTTAGGTTCAGTTCAGTTACAAGACATCTTGGGAGACTTTGGGTAAGACACTGACTCTTCCTGTACTCAGCCTGTAGAATGGGGATAAAATGCCTCACAGGCATGTTATAGGGATAAACACATGAATGACTGAGATGCCCGGATGATTAATAGGTGCTGCATAAGCACCTAAAATAGATTAAATAATCCTTATTAATCAACAGCCATATATAATTAGCTATGTTAGCTAATCTTTGCTCTAGGGAGAAACACACTTTAATATCCCAGAGACAGACCCTCTGTAGACATTTACATCGGCACAGAGCAAATGTAAAAATATCAAATGAAAAAAGGGAAGACTTTACAGCCACTCTGTCTGGAGGTATATGATGACTCAAAGGGAGAGCAGTGGAAAATCAGGTCTTGAGCTGTCTCTTACCTTTAAAAAGGTTCTCCATTTGTGGCTACTTGTGCAATAGTAATAACAGTAGTTTAATCAGTGCTGGCAAAGACTTCACTTTAACAGGTACGGGACTAAAATTAAGGAAAAGGAAGACTAGCAGATAGAAGCCTCCCCTGGATCCTGACCACCTGTGAGACATCCTCTTGTCTCCCACTAGGATACCAGGGACCAGTGGATGCTATTGACCCTAGCTTGTCCATTCTGTTAAGGCCACTGCTACACAGTGCAAAGTGGCCTTGAACTGATCAGTAATTCCCCGCAGAGTTCTTTACATGTAGACAGCTCGTGGAGGCAGTGTTTTCCTTGCCTATGCCAGTTGGCCTCTAACCTCAACAAAAAGGGCAGGAGGCATGTTGGGCAGACCTGAAGGCATGCTGGGGCATTTCCAGGGTAGGAGCTAGTATGGTAAGGTAAAACTCTGCAGTATCCGATTCTCTGCTGCTGTGCAGGATTTTATGCTACCAGTGCTAGCAGCAAAGAGAGCGAGAGAGGCAGGATCTCTTTTGCACCAACATACACAGCAGGATCCAGGTGTCACTAAATCAGGAAGCCAAACTCATGTTTCCCAAAGCTGAACTTGGGCATAGTGCAGAATCAGGGTTATAGAATCTCACTTTAAAAGATGTGGGAGCTGGCGACAAATTATTGCTGGTAGAGAGCCCTTGCTGTGCAATAATGCTACTCTGTCTGCTGTCAGTGTCGAGAAATGACACGATAGGCACTTTTTATACATCTCAAAATATAAAGACATTTAAAAAAAAAAGCACAGCAGCATCAGAGTTTGACCTCTTTATTATATTTGCACAAAGGTATACATTGTATTAAAAATATAAACTACACTAAAATCATGTGCAATTTTACAAAAAAGCAAATACTATACAGTATATGATACTCAAACAGTTAAAAAGCATAGAAATGACAGAAGTGACTGAACTGGCAATTCACGAGTTTACTGGCAGCGGTACATTCCTTTAAATACCTCATCATTAGCATTAGCAAAATGAGTAAAGTCACTAGTGTTCATGAGCTGGAACATGGTAACCAAGGCCATTTCCAATAGGGTAGTGAGCAAAGAAGGTTCTGGCCATTTCATTGATTCTGTTGTATGCTCCCAGGGTCCGGAAATACTCCACATATGACCAGAAATCATTAGACCAGAAAGGCCAGTAGGGCATGGAGGCAGGTACTTGATAGGGATCTAAAATAAATATTGCAGAATTAGTTTATTGTAACAAGAAGCAGGTTGGTTGGCTGGGCACCAGACAAACAACAAAAACAGGCACAAAAAGTGGCTTTAAACCCCCTTTACCATCTCTCTTCACTTCTTCCACCACCTTTCCTTTCTCCAGTAGAGGAATAGGAAACCCCAAAATCCAGCTCATGTCATTCTGTAAAATGTTCACTGGCCTTCAGGGGGTTGTACTGTATGTGAAGTACTGCTGTTATAACTTAGAAGTACTGTAAGTTGTACCTGGAAATTCTGTATTCGGTATCAGAACAATTCAAAGAGAAATACAAACATTAGGATACTGCTCTTAAAAAAATCAATGGCATCTTATGGCTTTGTGTGGCTGGGCCTTCCAAGAACCTTTCACTACAAACAAATCATTCTGCAAATGTGAATGGCTTCTCCTGTGCTCACTGGAAATGATTCCAGGAGCACAGCACTAAGCAGTGCCCTGTTCTCCTGCTTGGACGTGGTCTCCCTCCTGCTGCCAGCCAAATGTCATTCTTCCTATCAGTAAGAGAAACCCACACGAGGACTTTTTCCCCTTAAACAACATGAACAAGAGAGCGTATGTCCTTGCTTGTCCATGCTAGCATTAACAACCTTGATTTGACTTTTGGTTTTGGCACGGCACAGGCTTCAGCAGAAGGGGAGCAGCTGCAGGCTAAGTCTGAGACCCTGATCCTACAGTGGATCCTTTTGGTGACACCATTGAAGTCAATAGGGCCCCACATTGAGGGAGAGATCCCATTCCAGGGCTGGGGTCTGAGATGCGTTGCAGGAATCTGAAACCATGAAATTACATCTCTTCTTTGCTGGTCCTGGAAAACAAAAACTAAAGAGATGGAGAAAAATTCTCCAGCAGCAGCAACAGGAATTTCCCACTTGGCTGGAGCCAGATTTTGGGGGTTCTTTTTAGGTCATTAATAAATTAATTTGGACTTGAGCTGCTAGTTCAGGGAGACTGAAACCTCCAGATGCTGAGTACTCTTAGTCCCCAATGCAATAAAGCACTTAAACGCATGTGGAACTTACCTAAACCACTACTAACAAGCATTATGTTAGTTAGTTGCTTCAGGGCCCAGTTGGATCAGGACCTCTGTTCCCAGAGTGTTTGGGCATTGTTTAAATTCCACTGAAATCAATAAGATTCTTTGCATTGATTTTTATAGCTTTGGATTAGGCTTCTTACTGAGAATTAGGGATGCTCAGCACTTACCCCAGGCACCAAATTCATAGACTTAAATTTACAATGCATAGCCACAGATGGTACATAATAATATTAAATGAATTAGCCACTGCTTTCTGTGGAACAGAGTGCATTGCTTGTATTAGCTGACCTGCAGGTTCACGTCACCAGATTCTTGCCAAAATGTAAAACCAATATATCACCCAGGTTAAAGTTTATTATTATCCTATGAAATGCATTCACATGGTAGTTAAACTAAGATGTCGCATCAAAAAAAAGTTACCTGCATTTATTTGAAAAGCAAATATACAAACATGAGTTCCAAGATGCAAGCAAGAAAAGATCATGAGGTTTGTTGCAGGCAGTTTCGAAATAATTTGTTTTTTAATTAACATGTAATTATCAAATTAAAAATCTTCCCATGCCCTTACCAGGCTCACATTTTGGGGATTGTTGTTTTCAATGGGATGTTATGATACCATCTGTCAGTACATCCAGGATACTCTTAGTTTTTATGCTATTTATTCATATTCACATACCAGCAGACCTGGTACTTTATATAGATTTAACATTTTTGGGTCCCTCTTTGTTCTCAACAAAAATTTAGGCAAATGTGGTCTACAAAACTTCTCCAGGCTGTCCTCAGAAACTGCTATCCAAAGCATCAATCAGCAAGCCAATTTAAATGTTAGCAACTGGTGGTTTTAAAGGCAAAGCCAGCTTTGCATGTTACAGGCGAGATCCTCAGCTGATGAAAAAACAAAACTGTCTGAAGACCTGTTCCTGTATTTCTTTTTTAAATTGACTTTCTGAGCATTTGTTGTTTTTAATCTTTTTGTTCTGGAAGCTGGATTTTTCTTTTTGCCAACAAGATTACATGTATTTTAGAATAATATAAAATGACTAGTATGATTCAATACCTCCAGAGGGGCCTGGGTGCCCAATAGATTTAACAGTCTTAATTATGGTAGCATTATACAATACACAGTTTGATCTGACTTTGTCCAGCTAAGAATTTGTTTGTTTTTTCAAGTCAGATGTGCTGTTTTTCTTTCAACACATCAACTATTATACATTTTCTAGATGTTTTGTCTACTGTTTGAATCAGTCACGAAAAATAATATTTTTGTATCTCTTTCTGATATCTTGTTCTTTAAAGAACAGATGGAAATATTTCTATCAGGATCTTATCCAAAGCCTGCTGAGTTTAATGGAAGTCCTCACTGGTTTCACTGGGTTTTGGATCAGAGTTACAAGTGGTTCTTCAGTTTTTTTGGAATGTAAAAAAAAAAAAAAGTAAAGAATTACCATCTTCATCTTGAATCGGCCGAGCATCTATAAATAAATAAGAAACTAATCAATATTAGGGCACAGATGGGAGGATTTATGGTGTACAAAGAGCTACTTTAAAGCACACAATCTGACATACTCTGCAGTGCACAGGAAGGAGCCTACTGACAGCTCAACTTCTGTTTCGTGAAACAGCTGAATAAAGAATTCTCTGTTTATAGTTGCTCAGTAGCATAGACTGAAAACTGTTTGCCAGTAACAAAGACAAATGTGATTGATATACAAATAATGTGTGAGAGCAAATGCAAGTCAAAACATACAGAGAAAGACATTTAAAAGAGCTGGGAAAAAAGGAAGATAACGATAGCACTGCACTTACCTGTTAACATGTTCATCAGTATGCAGAAGAAAACTAAGCCAATAAAGATAAACTTCATCTTCCCTGCAAGTTCTTATTCCTGTTTCTGAAATATAATCTATACAACTGAAATGTATCAGAACACATCAATACTTATGCAAAATACATTCTTTTATTGTACACCAAAAAGTATGTTGCAGTGCCTTATTTTCAGCAAAGGCCAAACAAGAATTTTACAATTCTCTCAACTCTCTCCTTAAAGATTAATTGCAAAAAATTACAAATACTAAAAAATAGTGAAATTTATAAATAAGAGTGAAATTTTAAGTGGCAGAAATTCAAAAGATCACTTGTATTGCCATGAAATTAAATGCCTTGGAATTATTTTGTTTTGTGGCTATTTAATTTCACTGTGGAAGTTACCTTTTCTCTTCCCTCTTCTTTCTCTTAAATTAGTAGACGTCTGTAGTGGAGTCAGTTGCAAAAACCTGAATGGGTTTCTATTGCTGTAAAATAGCAGCACTGTTTAAAGAGGGTGGAGGATAAGGAAAGGAACGTCACTTAACACACCAATCTGATTTTTTTTACCCTAATCTAAAACTATTTTAGTTGCACATGTTTGCACAACATTGGAGCGCCATCCATGGTCAAAAATACCTGGATAAACTTTGTCAATAAATTTCTATACTATGAAGGTAGAAAGAAAAAATCCAGCTGCTAATTCAGTCTTTGCAATATTTTGCAAATTTTTTTCCTAGAAATAAATCTTTTTGGCTGGCATATATTAATTTTGAGATAATGATGTGTTGGCAAAAATCTGTTTACAGCTGTGTAATAGTGCAAGCAAATAACATTGATACTCGTGATTTAATTCCAGAAATTATCTGAAGGTTCAGGAAGACTAAATTGCTTACTTAGCTTATATTGTCACTTAAAGAGTCTAGCTGAATTTGATTTTTCTGCCTTGGGATTTAAAAAAAAAATCCCTGGCAGTGAGCCACTTTCAATGACTACTATTGCTTGTGGTTCCCAAGAGGCAGGTTCTTAAAAAGTATTTTAGATACCCAATTCTCCAGTCAATAGGATTGATGTTCCTAAACACATTTAAAATCTGTAAATCGCGCTGATTGCAGATATGCCAAGGGAATAAACTGTAGCAGAGCCTGAATGAATGAAGATGCATGAGCCCCAGGTCAGAACAGGCTGCCAAACCTGGACTTGCAGGGAACTCCTAGCTGCCGAGGCTTCACCCTGTCTCAGTCAGGTCAAAATGGCAGTGTGATGTTCAGCACAAATAGCCTTGTGCAGACTGAGAGATACGTAATGATCATACAGAGATATGTAATGATCATAGCTCTCCTTTCACTAAGGTCAGAAATTTACCTTTCCCTTGCTTAACCTGAAGCTTCCACCTCTCTCCAGAAATAACTCCTGACTGTCACATCACTGAACACAATCCTGTGCTTGTGGTACCAAGCCCCACTCCTACCCTACAGCTTCAGGAAGATGTGGAATCTCCATCACTGGAAGTTCTTAAATGCAGATTAGCCAAAACTTAGTCTGGGATTGTTTAGATAGAGGTGATCCTGACTACAACAGGAAGAGTTGGACTAGATGATTTTATGAGGTACCCTTCACCCCCCATTTTATCTTCTCATGACTACATCTTGCACTGGCTTGGGTATCATAGGAACACAGTCTGCACATTCAGTTTGGGGCTAATCAGATGGCTTTGTAGGTAAACCCAGCTTTGCTCAGACTGGCCCTCCTGATGGAGCTCAGCCCTACTTATCTATGCATAACGTTCAGCCATTTCTGCCAGGAACTTTTTGTCTTAGATCAGGTCTGTAAAGGCATCTCTGAAAGGAAAGATCATTGTAGCTTTAGAATACACCAGGCCATGCCAACTGTTATAGATGTTGAAAAGAAATCCCAAGACAGCAGCTCCTGCTTCATCACCATAAAGGCTTTAAATCTTCCCTTTTAGTGGCTCTAACACCCACAGATGCAGTCATCATGTGACCTTCCCCTACACAGCACCATCCTCCACTGGAGGAGACCTGCTGGAGTGGTTTCTATTGTATATAACCACTTCCCATGTGTCATTTTTAAAATCATGGCATCCTAGTACCTCACAAACCTTGGTTCCCACACTGTTACTTGTAGCACACTCTCTTTGCCAAAATCTTCAGCACAGCTGCAGAGCTGGGTCCACAAATTCAACTTATTCTGTAACTCCAAGTGATGCTTTCAGTTGTGCTCCCCCATTTAGTGTGTCAGTCACAGAAACCACCAGGATCTCAGAAATGTGCCTAGGCTACTCTGGGACTCCAGTGGTCTTGAAATCTTTAGTTTTAATTATCGATTATGTGCATAAATCAGTGTATTTTTCCCCGAACGACAGTAAAGAGACATAGTTTAGGTTAGGTTATAGAGAGCAATGGCAAGGAAAGCAGCAGCACAGCTGAAGCAGTCATCATCTCGAGGTATTCCTTCTTAGACTTCTGCATTTTTTCTTTTTCTTTTTGAGATAAAAGAATGACAAGTTCACTACACTAAGAAACTTGCAACATGATTTCAAGAGGGCTTAAACATGTAGAAGAGTAAGAAGAATATCAAGAGTTATAACATCATGCTAACAAGAAAAGCAGTTAAATGGAACTATAACTTCATGGCCCAGAGTTTAAGCCAATCTCTACAAGAGATCAGAATGAGAGGCAGATTATGGCTCATTTGGATAGTGCGCTTTTTTGCACCTTTTTTCTGGGGAAGTTATGTCAGCCACAGCTAGAGAAAGGATGGACAACAGTTCGGACTCAGAATCACAATAATTGTGTTCTAGTTCCATGAGGGCCAACCTTTTTGGCAGGTGTGCCACAAGATAGCCCTGAACCCTCTCCAGGTGCCACTCCAATCCCTTTCCCCTCCCTGATATGCAGCTCGGCTTTCTGCTTCCTGCCACCATGCTGCCTGTCTCCTCTCTAGTCAGCCTCATGCCCACATACACAAGCTGCCCATGCCACCTGTGACACTCATGGTTCATGCATGTTTTCAACCTTCAGTATCTCCAAAGTTTTGGGTTAACTAATCATGAGTTCAAAACACAAATAACTATTTGGGATTTTCATGCTGTAACAATATATAGAACTGGGCAAATTATAAGCAGGGGACTAAAATTAAAAATAAAAAAAAAAAACTGTATGTACTGTAGATCAAACAGAACAAGTGCTTCAAGTTACTATAATTAACTGCTTCTCATCTGTCCCTGCCTCAGTTAAGAAATTACATTTAAATACACAAAGATTGATGAATTTGATCTGATCTTTTAATTGCAAAGCTGTTGGACAGGACAGATCCAGTCAGGTTGCTTGCTTGGCTAAAATAAATGTGTATTCTCAATTCAGCATGCCAAACCAAACTCGGTTTCTTCTGGAAGCTTCCCAGCAAAGACCCTAAGGAATATCCCAAGGCATTTTTAATATGCTGGAAGTGTATTCATTCAGTTGCCCCACTCCTTTGTCAAAGTTCAACTTTTGACAATACCACTAAAGTGATAGTGTACTGTTCCCAATACAGATGACTGTATAGACCAATCAGCAGAGCATTTTGATGATGGTCACTGTCTTGTATATTTTTGTGTGACCATAACATTGAAAATTACATGCTGTCCACAAATGCAATTTGGCACAGAAGTGACTACGCTTTCCTGCAGATACTACAGCATTTAACAGCATGGCATCTGCTGAAAGAACCCAGTATTTTCCCTCCTGCTAGTTCGGACTAAAAACAGTGTTTTGCTTGTAAATATTTGTGGTTTTTTTTTAATCAAGAAAGGCTCATTAGCTCCAAGGACTTATCATGAAAAGCAAAGCTGGGGGTCTTCCAGTGTTACATTCCAAAAATTACTGAAGTATTTTTAAAATAAGGTGGCCATTAATTCATAGATGCTTTGTTTTTGCAGTGCAGGAGGCTGTGTTAAAGAGTATACTCCACCACCCTATGCCAAGATGGTCCAATCAATAAGTACTTTTTGTAGTTGGCTCTCTGGGAAGCTAAAAAACCACACACATCAGTCATCTCTGGCAGAGGCAGAAATCAATGGCAGCATTCAAGGTGGATAGGGAAATAGTTTGGATGGCCTACTTGTTTGTGTGATTTGCTTCCTGACAGGGAACAGTTCAGGGAGTCACAGCACGTGGAGTCTGCCCCAGGGTGGTTCTGAATTTATGCTGGCCAAGAAGCCAGTTTGGCCCAGACCTAACTACTGTGTGACATTCCTTGGAGCAAAACAGCTCTTTTGTTTATGAGCTTGAAACAAAAGGGACATGAAACGTGGCCGTATGGAGCCTTTTGCTCCACAGCTGCATCATTAGAATCATGTTCCAAACCAAACCTCAGAAAATTTGGAGTGTTGCCTAGGGAAATGCAATAAACTGTTCACTCTGTTTATTAGATATGATCAATAGAGAAGCACACACACACACAGGCATATATGTTGTTCAAAAATAAATTTCACTTGTACTTTTATCGTTCAATCTATTCTAAAGTCTCCTGTCCTTGGTTTATCTAGACAAAATATACATACATAGAGTTAGAAAATGTTTGTACAGAGAAAAAAAAACCCAAAAGAACAACAACATTACATAGCAAAATAGGTACTTGAAACTTCCCTGGAAAGCACGAGTGCGTGGTTGCTTCTAAATGGTAAGGTTCAAATACTAGAGATTTAAAGGAACACTTTAGATCAGTGAGATTGTACTTGCTTACAGGAGGTCTGACTTTGACCCTAATTTCCCTTTCAATATTTTACAAATCCATTATCTTTGCTTTGGGGTTTTTTTCCTCTTTCATGTAAATATTGTAATCTCCCAGTTCATTTAAAATTTTAACAACATTTTTGTTGCGGAGATATAGTTTGAAGATTGTAAACTCAATAGCCAATCCAAACAGAGGAATTAGCCTGGTCACAATGGCAAGAAGTTGAGTTCTTACACTACGCTTCACTGTAGTGAAATTAGAAATAATGACTTTGTGGCTATTCAATTTTCTGTACATTGTTTGGCTAATAAAGGGCAGCATAAGCCAGGATTTCCAAATGGAATTGCTGAGAAACAATTGTAGAATAGTTATACAAATTAGGAATCAAACTGGTGGAAAAGCAAGCTTGGTAGAGACAAGACAAAAGAGGTTTCAAAGAAGACACAATCACCAAGTGGGAAGAGAGAGAATTGTGTGTCTATAGCAGGAGTAGATAACCCCTGGCATGTGTGCCAGAGCGTGGCAGGTGAAGGCATTTTGCTTGGCACGTGTGCCTCAGGGAAGGGGCTGGAGCTGCGCTGTCACAACAAGGATCAGGCCCTTTCTTGTTCCCCTGCTGTCCACCCCTAGCATGCCAACATCTTACAAGTAGAGGTTGTGGGTGTTTTTGGCACTGTGCCCAAAAATGTTGCCGTGGTCTACAGCCTTTTAACATCCCTGCCCTGTGATTAGTT